CACACACACACACACACACGCACGCACACACACACACACACACACACACACATGTGCATTCGTGCTTCTGCACACGGGCTCCTTCTTATGAATACATTTCAGAGATCCAGCACACACAACCTCTGACTCGCTATACTATAGATTGATGAAAAAATCCATCTAACATTCTTAAGTTTGAAAACATTTTCATAATGTATGAGCATATTGAGTATACGTTTGGAATGGATTTTATTAAATTAATGAAATGGAATGAAATTTATTGATGAAGCGATAACATTGTCGCTTTAGTCTCTCTCTCGAGATGCATTCGTAATACATTGAAAGCGTTTTGTTGACCTGTCGTTCGCTTAATTTACACCATCGTATATAGACTGGGATTTTGCAATAATAATAATAATAATTATTATTATTATTATTACTCTAGCAGAAATTAAATTATTTATTGCTTTGATATTTACATAATAAACACGGTAAAATTCACATGTATGTTATTGTTGAGGTTGTTGAAGTACTCTTGCATTTTGAGACTTATTTTTAACAATCTATCTTGTTGCTATTATTTTATTAATAATTTATTATTCTTTTAAAATTAAAAATTATCTTTATGTTAATATAAATTAAAATAATGAGAATCGCGTATGTTAAAATTTGCTTATTGAATTTCATTATATTGCGCTTTATTTAAAATATATTTATTATTAAAACATAATTACAATGTTCAGAATTTATTTTTATAATTCTTAATAAACATACATTCAATGTGTCATTTATTTATCCAGTATTTATTTATCCAGTAATTATTCCAATGATATCAAATAGTTATTTAGAGTTAACTTTTATTTTAAATAAAATTAATTAATTTATATTTTAAATGTTGATTACTTGGAGCTTGGAGGACAGTTTATCTCTTTTAAATTGCAGTGTCTCATTTTTGTTGATTCAATAAACGTAAATTTTAAACGTAACTCGACGTATAGATTAATTATGGAGATAAATCTGAAACACAGCTAACTCTTGAAATGTCATGCGGCTTGAGTTTAAATAAAACTTTACATGTGGCAAAGGTTAATGGAAATTTATTTAAAAATGCTTCATTAATTTTTAGCGTCAAAATAGGTCAATAATTTTAATAAAATAACGAAGACTTTATAGAAACCGAACAAAATTAATTATTGTTAAAACTTAACAAAATCTGGCACAGCCAAGCTTTGTCCACGCGTTTGCAAACTTGCTGGCGATATTGCGACGAACGAAGTAATTAATTTGCTTTCACGTACTGCGCACATTATGTGCGGATTATGCCCGTCGCAGTTTGCACTGCAAAGTTCGCGATGTAATTACGTACTTTTGATTCTGTTTGTGCATAATGAGTCGCGAGCGATAAAGTTACTGAAGCCGCCTGCAAGTTTCACTGTGTTACAGCTACGCAATCTCTCGTAATATTACATGTAATAATTGATCTACGTTACACCGAATTTATACTATTCACCCTAGATAATCATCTGTTCTCATCTGTTACGTATTATACAATTTCAGTGTGTATAAAACTTATGGAAATATCGAAAGCTTGAAAGAAAATTTTATTTACTTAAATAAAACGGAAATAAAATTATTGTTAATAAAACATATGTAATAGAACACATATAAAGAATTAAGGAATGTATAATATTACATAAAATATAGATAAAAATGTGCAATTTGATGACATTTGAATAGTCCTTTTCAATTTTTACAATTTCTTTTGTCGATGGATTATGAATGATGTGAATGATTAAAAGTGAAAGATATAAAATGGGCTTTATATTCCGGATTGTCACAATAACGAGGTAAAAATGATACTCCGAAAGCACAGGCCAAAGCGGGACTGAGTAATCGGATTTCCGATGATGGACGAATAACATCATTGCAAAATGGTCGACCCGGCGGCGACGTATTGTTACGCTAACAAATTCGCCCTTTGACTTTTAAACTCGGATTACTACTATTCTGTAAAAGGACAGACATGTCACGCATTTTTGTAAACCGTTACGCGTATTACATCTATCGTTACGTCAGATTACATTTTAGATTTAGACTCATTTATATTAATTGTTTAGTTATTTTAGTTTGTTAAAATATATTTTACATAAAGCAATTTCTGTTGATGTGTTATGGTGTTCGAAATGATGAAAGACCATTGAAAGTCAACATCACAACGTTTGTACGATTATCGATGCTGGTTAATATTAACTCATCTGGCAACGTTAATTAACGAGCATCATGTCGATGCATATTATACGAAGCCTGCGGAGACAAAGTTGAAACTATTTCAGGCATGTTTGACATCCGTTGTTTTGATCATGGGAGGGAAGCGGGGTGGATGAATAAATTGATACCAATGCGTGCATGTCGTGAGGAGTCTCGCTGATGACCTATCGCGCTAATCTATTTTCCGAACCGGGATTTATCGGGTATTCCAGTAAATGCAGAAAGCTCGCTATAATATCGAGTTTTGGCGTTAACATTAAACATTTTCGCATCGCGGCCATTTCGAAACATTCGAGTGCACCGGCTCGTTCGTCCAATCGCCGAATTTATCTCCAGTTCGCTTCGATTAATGTCTGCCCCGCCTACCATTAATTCACTACTACCCACAAAAGCTCAAAAGCTCAAAAGACTCGATTTTTGAGAAATATTCTTGGATTATGTTAACATAAATACAACTATAATACATTACCAATAATTGTTTGAGAGAAAATGTTGCATTTGTAGTATATGTATGTAAGCTTTTATATTTACATATGTTTTTATATATTTAATATATAAAAATTTTTGAAAGATTGTGATAAATCATGCAAAATAAAATGCCCGTAATATCTAAATTCAAAAGATTAATTCATATTCTTTCATTACTTTAATTAAAATTTATTTTACAAATATGTAGATATATTATTTTTACAATTGGATAATAGTTATGCATTTATCTCTTATTCAACATATTACGATTGAAAACATAATTAATTAATATTTAAGAAATGTATTTTTATCTGCTTTGAAAAAATTAACACAAATTTTTTAGTATATTTGTACAAATTTAAAGAACATCTTTTATGTAGTTTATCCTCGTTATAGTATCGCGAGAGACATTCTGTGTGTGCAATGAGGAAAAACGGATTTAAAATGGATCTGCTAACTTGCGAAGTACTTTGAGACGGAAGACTTACCTGATTAAGATTCTGAGATAATTTCGGAAGAGGTTGGGAAAAATCAAAAATCGGCTTGGGAAAAATTTTCTCGATGGATCAGAGAATCTCAACCTGTTCGAATATTTAAAAATATCGAATACCGAAATGCAATATCTGATAAGCATCAAGATCAAGCTGCGAAAAAAAAGATAGAAGCTTAAAAGATATTTGTGCCGCTATATAAAAGGAGAGAATCACCGAATGAGATAAAAAAAGAAAGAAAAATCCTACGTTTAATAGATTTCCGATAAAAGACCAGATAATGTTTCAAAGTATCTTTTTTACTAAAAAATAATGTTTTATGAATTAATTACGCAAAATATCCTTAAATACAATAATGTTGTTGACAATTTTTATTTAATTCTTGATTAAAAATAGTATCTTAAGGCTGCGTACATAAAATTAATTATAAATCTCATACGTATTTTTCAAAAATTATACTTCAAAATCTTTCCTCTCAAAAAGTAAAATTCTCAACCAAAATAAACTTCTTTCTTACATTTTCTGAATCTCGCACACATGGACCATCAGAAAGTACACATAGTAAGAACATTGGAATTGTAGATTCCTTTCATCGAAGAACTCTCCGGAGACGTTCCTTATCGCGAAATATAGACCACTTGCCACATCACTCCACCGCGCCACTCTCGTCGTTATGGTCGCGAAAGTAAAACGGAAGTGGCTCTTATCGAAACAAAGAGTGATGTTGACCGTGTGTCTACTTATATAGAAAGTTGTATTCAGTATAAGAAAGAGAGGTAGAAAGAGGAAATAAGAGCAAAACTTTTCAAAGAATGTCAATTTGTGAAAAAGAAATACAGAAGTAAAACTAAAAGTTACTATAGATTAAGAACATTCTCCAGGGAAACTTGGATATTTCTGATATATAAAATTTTTTGTTTCTTCTAAAAACTAAAAAATTTATTTTATTTGTTAAGAAATCTATGATTGACAAAAAACAATTATAAATATAATATTTAAAATGCATAATTCCTGTTTATCTTGTATGTCTTTTTCTTGAAACTAAAGATACTTAGATGGCAAATAATCCTTTCATACAAAGATATTATTTCTTTTTTTTCTTTTAGAAAAGACGCATTAGTGAAGCCGCTGTCGTAAAGCTTGGCAAAGATGGTACGAGTGCGGTTCTCTGTAATTTTACGGCTCGATAATTTCATGTCTTATTCCTACCAATTTTCAGGACTTCATCCTAGAAACGTCCTAGAACGAAATAAGATGTCGAATATTTCGTATATTACAAATATGCCTTGAAATTACAAAGATATTTATTCATTAAATAATATTACGATGTTCAGATGATTATTGAATTCCGTTAAATTTACATTTCAATTTTACTAAACTTTCAAGCAAATTAAAAAAATAAAAGATATCCATATGTTTTTGTCATTTAACGAATCCAATAACGAATATTCTATTAGAAAAAAGTCTCTTTTGTGCAATTTCTCGTGCGACAAAATGTTTGTTTTTATTTATATTTTTCCTGTTTTGTACAACAAGTATTTGAAAGAAGTTCGATAATCTCACAATACCTTGCACAGCCCGCATTTTGTCCGGAACATGGGACAATACCGGGTCATGTCCGGGTATGAGTCACTTCGGCAGGTAGACCCTTCGTGTTCCCGACATGTTTGCAACAAAGAAGACGATGGTGGCCGACAACACCGGCACCGTCGTCTTTGTCACCTCAGCTTGCCGCTGGCAAAAGAGAAACTAAAACGACGCGTCGCGTCGCGACGCGATCCCTTTGTGTCGCAGGCATGGCGGAGGGCGGAAGCAGGAAGCATCCGGTGTTGCTGTACATTCATGGTGAGAGCTACGACTGGGGCAGCGGAAACCCCTACGATGGTAGCGTCCTAGCCAGCTACACCGACCAAGTGATCGTCACCATGAACTACCGGTTGGGCGTGCTCGGCTTCCTGAACGCCAACGTGGCGCCGCAGACCAAGGCGAGGGTTGCAAATTATGGCCTCATGGACCAAATCGCTGCCCTACACTGGGTTAAGGAGCACATCGCACGTTTCGGAGGTGATCCCGAAAATGTCACCCTTATGGGCCAAGGAACTGGAGCCGCTTGCGTGCATTTTCTCGCCATTAGTCCCACCGTCATACGGGGTAAGTGGTTGAAGCTGTTGAGAGTTAATACGAGTTCTAATGTAGTTGAAATGTAATATATCTATTAATGTAGGCAAAAAAGTCTGTATATCTGCGAAAGCTTATAAATTAACATATGAAGTAAAGTTGGAAGAATCAGGCTTTCGTTAAAAGCAATTGTAGGTTGTAGTTGTAGATTATAAAATTCAGGCGGATGTAATTAATAAATTTTCTCGAGAATGAAGCCGGTCGAAATTTCTGAACCATTTGCCGCCATGTTGCACTCGCAATTATTCAGAGAACGCGCCCGCGCGTCTCATAAATGATTAAAAGCGCTTTCGCATTACACATAATTGAAGAGTAGCAAGTTTTACATGAGCTTCATTACAGTGCGTTATTTCGTGTTAGTTAATTACGCATTGCACCAATTACGTATTCGCAAATAAGAAGAGAGGAATTTTCTCCTCCTCTCCTCTTTTCATCTTTAAAACGAATTTTCCTCGATAGACTTATAAGCTTGCAGGAATTTATACCGATCTATCGAATTGCAACCGAATCCGCTAACAAGATCTTCAAGAAGAAGATGAAACGAGCTTATGTGCGTCGAGCTCGTCTTTGTAAAAATTCCGTTACTCTCTCACGATAAAAGAGGACGAATTGAAACAAGCAATGGTTCTCAACTTTTTATACATAATCGCATAATGTATTTAAATCTAAATACATCTGGATATTGTATATCTTAAAAATTGAAATAGGAATATAGAAAGAACAAAACGTCTGTAAAATTACAAATATAAACATGTCTTTCGTTACGATAATAAAATATTCTGCATATTATTATACCATAAGATTAAATACTATCACTGGAGAATGTGAGGATTCTTTCAGGAATCTCAGAGGCAGATTGCTGAAAACCTCAAGATTTAGCGATTGAAATGCTCCATGGAAAACTTCGTCACTCGTATATACCATCTGTCGCGAAAGAATCGCCATCTTCATAACGCATACCTTCTTGTAGAAAAAGGAGAGAAAGGAGTTTAGAAATGAGAAGTAGCTTAAACCAGCAGAAATATCAGCTCGAAATTTCTTTCTCCGATATCCGCTACCCCTTCCATCTCTTTTCGCAGGATTCGCGATATTTTCGAGGACGAACACGCGCGGATCGGCGCGGTAACACATTGCCGAGGATATTGGCTGTCTCCTTTTATATCTTCATCCAGTAGCAGCAGCAGTGGACCATCTTCGTGGTCGTGCTCACGGTTAACGTTCGACGGTTAACAGCCCCCGCAAACCCCCCCCCCCCCCTCCCTCCAGAGATGGACACGGTTGAGAGGATAAGGGAAAGCCTTCCGCCTCCTCATCTCTCTTTACCTCTTTCCGTCGCACTCTTTTCAGCCTTGCTCTATCTCGCTTCTTCGCTCGTGATATTATGTGCGTGAAATATCGTCCCTTCCTACCGGCGCCACCTTCGTCGTGGGCGCTATTGGAAAATACTTTCCTCCCTTATGAGAAGGGTGCAGCCATCCACGCGTGTCCGAGATGGGAGTTTCCTCCCTCACTTTTTATCCGTCGCGGTTGTTTCACGTTCCTTGTCAAGTTCCATGATTTCGTTAATTAAAGAAGCACAATATATTTCAAATGATAAAAATTACTCAAATAATTATGCAATTGACTGACTGAAGAGAGAACAAGTTAACTTATTGTGACATGAATAATTAGAATGATTTTATAATAGAAAGATAGATAGGAAAGTAGAATAATAGATTGATAGAATATCAACTATTTTAATGGATTCACAAAAAGTGAAAAAGACAATTTTGTATTTTTTTCTTTTCTTTTTTGTAATTAAATATAAAATTTATGCCAATTCTTTCTGTACTCTGATATCTAACGTTAATGTCATAAAATTTTCTCGTCTCATAAAACTCGCTTTATTTACAAATTCTATTATTTAAAACGTTTGTACTCGTTTGTTTCGCAAAAGGAAAAGCATTATTTCCTTTTATTTGTTTGCGCATGGAAGGATCTCCGATCGGAAAGGATCTCGGTATGCCAACTCTTCTCTCACCTTCCTGGCTCCACGGATGTTTTATTCTTTCCCGTATCACTGAGGATAGAAATGAGAATTCCATTTTTCCAAGACGGCTGTCTCGAGACACGACGACGTCCTGTTATTTCCTGCTTTTACTCTTTAAAAATCTCCTCTCTCTCTCTCTC